CTTTCCGGATAAGCTACCTAAAATCCGTTTGTTATAAATCATGAATAGTGCCGTCATTCAAACTTTTGTAATTGTTTCTCTTCAATCGAATAGCTTCCAAGAACCGAATAGCTGTTGACCAGTAATGCTCTTGTAGTAAGGTTAAGCAATGTGTTTATAGCAAATAGTTTATTGCTTCATCTGATATTGCTATTGCCATTGTTGTTTAATGTTAAATAGCACATCAACGGGCGGCAGTACAACGGAGGAAAGTTGTTCGGTTATGTACTCTGGGTGTGCCGGTTCGAATCGTAAATGGCGTAAATTTTTTTCCTCGTGATTAAGCAATCCACCCAGCTGTACTTCGTTGCCTTCAGCAGCAATTCGATGACCTGCGACCAGCGGGACATCATATTATTCCATGGTGGTCATACCAGAACGCCTGAAACAAACGGTCCTTTGTTTTCACGGATGCAGTGCTCCGTGACCCGCTTACTTGCTGACCAGTGCAAGGTTTAAAACGTAAAATATCACAGAGTCTTCTAACTCAAGTAAGCTTGACTTAAATAAAATGATGATTTAGAAAACTGATGAATGATACATCATTTAAAGTTCTTTGTTTTCGAGTGGTCGTGTTCATAATTTATTCTGGTTTTATATTTAATGGTTCCTTTACGCTTTCGCTGTATTTAGTTAAGCGTGCAAGTGCATCCTCGATGAGCAGTCGTTCAATGCACATTGCTGAAAATACTCAGGAGTTCAGTGGTACTGTTGAAGACAGGTAATTAACCTTTCTTTTACTACTGTCGTAAAAAATATGAACATAATTTTCGTTCAAAACGCATTGGTTGAATTCGAAGCAGACATTCACTCAACGTGAATTTGTTGCTTCATTATACTGAAAGGTGGTTATGAAATGTTTACATACTCATGCCTTGAAAAGCAATGATTGAGGTTAAGTAAAATGAATGATTCTGCTCATCAGAGACTGTGAAAGTTCTGGGATGGAAAGGGACAACGGCACCGACAGAGCAAATAAGAGGGGTTCAGAATCACCGAGAAAGACGCATTAAATTGTAAAAGGACGGATTTCTCATCTTATCAGGTATATGACTGACGGCATGCAAGGACTTTAAAGCGAACTTTTCTTATATTTCTTTCGTAAATTCCGTTCTTGTTCTGCATTTTCTGAAGTTTTAGCGGTCCAGCTTATAATTCGCCTATCTCTGTTCAGTATGGAACAAACCACCGTGAGATTCTACTAAGATGAAAGACTCTTCTTCAGCTTTATGAAGATTATATGGCTATGTAGATAACGACCTTAGTCAAGGAGTGCGACAAATTTTTTCACAGGCAACTTCAAATGAACATGTACAACATTATAAGTTATTACCTGTCGACTGCATTCAGAAAGCTACTGGGTATGTCTACTTGGCAAGCTAATCGCGTCAGGCCACTTTGGTCGAGACCTCACTAAAAGGCGTAACGCGGAATGTATGACATGCAGAAGAAACGGTGCCATTCTTGAAACCAGAAAGCAACCAATGAAGGTTAGCACCATATTATATGACATTCACGGTATTGCCTGCTGTTTCATATGGCTTCTGGCCCTGCGCATTGACGAGAAAACGAAGCAGCGTTCAAAGTGCTTCACAGTGCTGTGGAAAAAATGATGTTAGGAGGTTTCATGAGGGACAAGCCATGACATGAAGAAATTAAGTATGCAGAACGTAGTATCAATTTTATAGAAAAGAAAATGACAATGGACAGGTTACCTCGCAGGAATGATGATTGAAAATGATCGAGGACTTCGAAGATGCTTATTGGTACCCAAGAGAATGCAACGTCCAATTAGAAGGCCTCGGATCAGACAGGACGATGCGCTGAACGAAAGGTATGGAGGCTTGTGGCGAAAAATCTTATGATATTGACCAGCGTGGGTATCGAGACCAGGCAATGATGGTCATCGTTTATCGCATGGTACGATCAGTTAATCATATCTATTGCGTTTAAAAACAACAAACGACATTTTTGACTCTGGTTGGTTCAGAGAGACTGCCACTCCGTACACATCTAGTTCAGTTTCATGATTTAACGTCGATTCGAAACGTAGAGGTCACGAGTTTGCGTATTTGTCGGATGACTAGTATTTTTTCCTTATGAGGTTGATGAATGAGTACCACGTTGTGGAAAGAAAACAAAGGAATATACTTGCCACTGTGCATGCATGACACGTAGATGCTGCTGACTCCGCTTTCTAATAAGGCATTCTGACTGATGGCATGGAGATGGATGTCAGCGCCACACCATAATCATGACAAAATTAAGGCCGCTACAAACCGCTCCAAATCATGACGCTATAATGAAATGTATCAATTCCCGATCAATTGCAAGCTTCCATTTTGATTTCCATAGTTCAATCCCAAGAATTCGTAACCACATTGACACCTTCTCTGTTATTCTGAAGTTGCTCTGTGTATACGAGTCCAAGTACATGGCCGTTGTGACAACTCCATTATTATTATAATGTACATTACACTAGACGGTAAGGGTTCATAGCGACCGCATTCCCTTTAAATGAATGGCGGAGAGGAGGGCAAAAACAGAGAACGGTGTCTTTGGGCTGCCACAACTAAATATCAAAGTGGATAGCAAGAAACTGTATGTTTCAGACTCAGATTGAAATAAGCTACAACACGTCAACAATAAAGCAATATGTGAGTTTTCGCCAGACAAAACAAAATGAAATTAAAATAACAGCTAAGCAAACCGAATGCCGCTTATTTTGTGTAGTTGCTCGACCAGATACTTTGACCAATTTGCAGAACAATAAA